TGAACGACCGCTCGCTTGTTTTCTGGGGTCTGTGGTTCGCTTGCAGTCACCCAGGCACACGCAAGGGAAATGTGACTGGGGGAAGAAACTTAGCGTAGGCTTTCAAAATAGGACAGAAGAGAAAGGAACAGGGGTCTGTGAAGCTATTGAAGATCTCTTTGGTAACCCGAAGGGACAAAACTGAAGGTAGGGATGAAGAGGAAAAAAGTGTATATTTGAAATATATAAAGAATTACAATCATCTGACATAAGATTTAGGTCAAAGTATAATTTAGTGCCTTAATAACATTTGAAGTAGAGTGTGGTTCTTGAAATAACTTTATTATTGAAAACATTTTAAAATCCAATTTTTTGCACTAATTTTTTTGTACAATTTACATGCAACTAATCAAACTTTGCACTTTTTTATTGTGACAAAAATCAAACAAGATAAAGCATAACATTTTCCAGTTTTAAACAAAACAACCCCACCCTGTAATGGCAGAGCTGAATCAGAAAGTTTGGAAGTTTAACATTTGGTGGTGGTGGTATTTTTGAGGGTAATTTTCTTTACAAGCCTTCAAAAAGAGTGTTGTTTGAGTTTATAAACTCTTAAATAGCGTTATTTCCAAAAAATCTCACGCAAAGGTTTAATAGAGCATTTGGTGAGTGCTTATATTGTTTAAATATTTTTGCCCAATCCCTTATGCAGAGTATTGAAGGCAAAACCAAGGGATTTTGAGGTTTTAATTTCTTGTGCAATCAACATTCTTTATATAACTTTCTGTATTTTAATATGAAATCTGAAAAATGCAGTAGATCTACAATCAAGGAGGTGAACATATATCTGCTTTGAGATGCAATATGCACTTTGCACAGGTAGGTAAGAATTCAAAGTTTGTTTGCACATAATTAATAACCCCACATTTTAAAACTACAACCATAACTTACAGGTCTCTTTTGAGCTCAAAACTGAAACGAAGTTTGAAACTGCTATCAATAATCTTATAAATCTTAAATGCAAATCCTGAGAACATCTTACTTTCTATTGCCACAGGGTGAACACGCAGAAAGTGTTTGATAAAACTGCATAACTAATAGGGTCTGTTCAGATTTTCGCTAATAGCGTTGTTATATAGTATATTAAGCCTAGTTTACCAGTGCCACAGAAGGGAACGGTGATGGTGGTGAGATGATGAGCAGTGAGGCTGATGTGTCAGCTATTGTACTTGTGCGCAGGCACACCAACTAGAATTGGTATCTGTAGTACAGATGTCAGCAACATCTTTTGATGGAAGCGTATAACTGTTTAATCTGCCAACACATTCCCATGCTCATCTCCCTCCTGTAGTTTTAAAATGATCCAAGTTTTGGAAAGGAGAGCAAAATCACACGTTAAGGAAGTCAGTAAGGGAGAGCAGTTGCAGTGCGCTAATAAAACATGTTGAATATCTGATACTAAAAGCCTCACAGGGTAAACAAGCCACATTGACTGTAATTAAAGAATACCTTTTCATGTTTTATTTGTAATGAGTCAATAAAGTGTATATTGCGTAGAGAATACTTTGAAGCCTTTCCACTAAGCTGATATGACAAAACGCCGCCACCAACCTGTAAATGAAGTGTTTGTTCACTTAAAAACTCAGATGCATCGCTGAGTGCAGGCAGCAGCAGGTCCCTTAATGGAGGCGATGACATGCTTCAACTCATTGAGTAGTTCTGCGCTAGTTTTGTAGCACTGCCTTAGGAGGGCAGGCACACGTGCATGTCCTTCTATTTTCTCTCTCTACACCAATAGCAAATCTGAAGTTGGTCAGCATTGTATCAGCTGGGCAAGAAAACCTGTGACAACAATATGGAGGCCATGGGGATGAATAGAGAAAAAATGTGTTGGCAGGTCAGGGGGTGGATTTTGTAGAAAGGCTGCGTGGTTTGTGCCAGCCACTGTTCAGTGCATCATAGTATTTATAATAAATTAGCTCTTTCTCCTCCCCTCCTTGAATTAGCTTTCTCTGCGGCGTACACAGTAACGACTGGTACCAGCTTTACTCTGTAGACGGCCACAACTGAGCAGCATCTGACTTTAGAGCGGCTCAGAGCCTTGGGCTATTTTTGTTTATTTTGCTGTATTATGTGTGTGTTCAATTAATCTCTGGAAGGAATAACTACGCAGGCAGGTGAAGATGAAGTGACGAGAATACTGAACTTCTGTCTCTGAAGTTGCTCTCTAATCACAGGTCTGCCACTGCCTTGTTATATGACTCCGGGCAAGTAATTCCATCTCTCCCTACCTCTCATTTTTCTCAGGCTCTCCAGCCTATATCTTTAGTCTGTAAGGTTTCCTGGGCAGCAGTTGCTTAGCATTATGTGCTTGCGCAAGGGGAAAACAGCCTGGACTTTGAAAGCGACAGCGATACAAACACATAATTTTGGTTTCCTTCTCTCTACTCATCCCTCAAATGCTTCCTTGTCTCCCCTTCTCCCAGGGACCTCTGTACTCTCCTAACAGGTGGTGAAAGGGAGATGTAAGAGCTGGGTAAGCTCATCTGTTCGGTGTTCAAATACAAACTCATCTGGAAAAAAAATAAAAAATTTAAAAGACAAGGAGAGTACTGCTACACTTACACTGAGAGGGGTGACCTGCCTTACTCCACAGCTACTTCATGACCCATGACAGCTGGGACTGCATCGTTCCTAGCTTTTAAACTTACCCTCCCATCCTCTTGCTGCTGTAATGCCTCCTCCTCTGCTCCAGATAAGCTTCTCAGCTTCCCTAGCATCACTCAGTGAGGGTCACTAAATGTGGTTGGCGGGAACGACAGCTGAGGATTTTGGAGCTGGTCTTCAAAGGTGGGAAGGCTACAGGGTTTGGAAAGGAGGAGGACAGGGGGTGTGCCCTTTGAAGGGAGTCACTGAATATGTCTTTTTTTGCCTTAGCAGTACTAGGGAGCGACGTGGCTCAGTGGCAGCAGAGAGAAGCCTGAGTGGAGGCACAGCAAAGTGTTACAGAGAAGGCAGAGGAGAAGGTGGAAAAAAAATAAAAAATTTAAAAAAAAAAAAAGCAGGAGAGAAAGGGGTCAGGAGGAGGAGATGTAGGAGTGCCTCATCTTCAACAGAAACACAGTGCAAGTGTGCAACTTATAACCGTATAGAGTGTGAAAGGAGCAGGGTTTCAATACAAATTTCTTCTCATCTTGTTTGCCTTTTATCATCCCTCCTGATTTGCAGACCACTGAGCTAGATTACCTTTACAGTCTCAACAAAATCTTGTGCATCCCATTCAAACACTTCTGCCTCTTCAGAGGATGAGACACATGTTTTTTCCAATCTTTTGTATTTCATCATACCTATCATACTGGAGAAACCTTAGTATGTCTTCTGTGCTGTCCTGTCTTTTGTGGAATTACAGAGCTCTTAGCAGCTGCTTTGCCTCCTTTATACCCTTAAGATTTACTACCACACATCTTTCAGAAAAGCACCGAGGGCATCTGTGTTCCTGAGAAGCTCATCCGTAGCACGCTTTTGCCCCTTTGGACACTGAATGAACACTGGATGCTAAAATGATGGAGCATGTATTTCCCACTGCTCCACTGAGTCAGCCTGTTATTTAAAAAGGGCACGTTTAAAGCTAGGTTTAAAATCCTGTCGCCTATTTAACTGCAGCTACCTGAGAGCATGAAGTTCCTTCTTACCTGTGTGGTAAAATTTTCCTGAAAATCCAAGGTTGAAGGTAAAATTTGCAACCTGAGTGCGCAGTAAATTTTGAGTCTCTAGTAAAGCCTGAAATAAATAAGAAATTAACATGCATTTAGAAAAATGAATATTATTTTTTGGAATGCCTCATTTTAAAAGTTGTGTCCAACTGAGGAGATACAAAAAAGATTGTTAAATGTTTCACATTTTGTTTCGGGCTTGTTCTTTTTTTATAAGACTATTACAGTCATCTTAATTTTTTCCGTCCGAGTTTGATGGTCTAGCCATGCTAGTACCTGAGGACCAAAGTTAGGTGATGGTTCTGTACCTTGGACCAAGATACTCTACATTGTTTGCAGTGATCTATGGCTGAATCCAGCCATTCAGAGGCAACAATATACTAAATCACTAGGTCACCCATGCTTTGGGTTATTAATGAAGCTTGATAAAATGTGCTTAAAACCCAAAGTAAAATTAGGAATACTACTTGCCGTCCAGATGTGGAGGCATTGGGATTTACTTACCTGCAGAAACACTTTTGACGGTGTCTGAACACCGAATTCAGGTTTAAGTGTGAATAAGCAAAACTCCAATTTTGACCTAGGGTAGAAGTACTGTCCGGGTCAGAAATTAAATCCCTGTTTATTTTTATTCTCTCCTCCAAGCAAAAGCTAAGACCAATTTCAATGAAATGGAAGAAAAGGGTATTGCTTATAGAAGAAATAGGCATAGTCTTGGTCACCTCTCCATTTTTTTCCTGGACATATTTCTAACCACTAGAGAAAAAGAAAAGATGGTTCAGCCTGCGTGAGCTACCTACATTTACTGTTCTCAACTCTGCGCTGCTGCTAAAGATAGTCCTTGCTGCACACATATCTGTACGTTTTCAATCACCGGCCCACGTAATTTGGACGTGCTACATACGTGAGATGGATAGTGCATTTATCTCCCTATTGGTCTTGCCAATGTTGAATAGGTTTTAAGCTCTATTTTCATCAATTTTCCATGTCTCTATTATGTGGCTCTTGAGAACTTTTCCCATTATCTATTAATAACATTTCTATTGATTGAATGTTCATGTTCTTGCACAGTTCAAAGACAAAATGAACGCAGTGGTTTACACACAGTCCGAGTCCAGCTAACATTGCCTTTCATTTGAAAAAATTACATTTTGTATGGTCATTAGTAATTTCACTTAATATTACAGGAAAATAGTTTTACCGTTTTGCACCACCCACTGGTCTAATTTAAAAAATAACAACAAACTCATGACCGTAAACCAGAAGTATCGCCAAGCAGCTGAGATGCAGACTGATGGCCTGTGTGATCCCAGTCCACGGCGGAGCCGAACTAAGCAGGTCAGGTTTTTGCGATCTCACGATTTATCGTATTTCCTTTGCACTACAATGGGAGGTGCTGTCAGCTACTTGGTAGCATTTGCTGTAGGACATTAACTTCTTAAAGTTATTGATTCCCTCCTAATTACGCAGCTGTTGGAGCACAAGGCATCATTCGGGTGCCAGGCAGCTCGGGAGTGTAACACAAAAGATTGTCAGACGGCGTGCATCTGCCTTCATTTTTTAAATAGAAACATTTATTAGGTGTTAAGGAAGATGTGAAACAAAGATAGTGGTTATCATCTACAACAGTCACCAAGCAAGTTCCTTTCCTTGCTAAAGGAAATCAAGTAATCTAATGACAGTAAATCTTGTGCTTTAGCATTAAATATTCAGATAGCAGTATGGTTTCCAGCCTATCTTGCCAGACACTTAATAAGTTGATTATTTCAATCCTGTGACACATGTGGGACTGTATTTACATAATATATAACAACTAAATGTTCACTAAAATGTAAAACCTTACAGATCAACACCACTGTTGGCTAAGACATTGAGGAAAATCCCCAGTTGGTAAAAACTGGCACTAAATTGACACCATTAAAATCACAAGCATAGAATCTGAGTCATTATGTTTTAGAACATAATTTTCCAAGCTATCTAGAGCATTTTATATAGGTTGAGAAAGACTGATGGGCTGAGCAAAATCAATTCAGTTTTCCTTTGAGGAAAGAACATTTTGAGAAATCATCATCACTTAACATATAATATAAGAAGGTACAGGCAACAAACATCGTTATATCTCTTGTTTTTCTCTCTGATATCCCTCGCACTCATGTCTCAATAAGATGACTGAACTGTGGGATAGGCAGAAGCCTTCCAGCCCAGTGAGGTCTCATTAAAAACACAGAGTGAGGATTAAGATGTAAATCCTGTAACCTGCAGCGTGTCAAGCATTTTTCTCTGTCTAAAGGGCAAATCTGTCACTCAAACTGGATTTGGCTTGGTCCTAAAGACTTTAATTGCAATTTCCATATATGCATATTAATTTATATAATTTGCAGCTAAACTTCATTTTCATGACCTCATCTAATTTTAGTACTAAGATACTGTCAGTTAAGCCAGTCCAAACTTTTGTCATTACTTGCCTGTTTGTAGAGGGGGGGGAAGAACATCTTCCACATCCTTTATATAAATAATAAAGGTCTCTATTTAGGTGATTAGGGTCTGCCTTCCCTGTTTTTAATAAACACATATTCCAACAAAATCGTTAAGGACTCGTACTGCCTTCACCGGTAGTTTTGCACAGTAAATAATGAGAACTTTTGTCTCTGTAGGTACGGAGCTTAACAGCAGGCAGCTTAGGAAAGTGCTGTCACCGGAGAAGAGCAGACAACTCTCTTCCATCTCCCTTCTCGCACTCTCCGGGGAGGGTGACCCCCTGCTTGCGAGGAGAGCTGCAAACACTGCTGCTCGGGCAGTCTTCCGACTCCCGGACGGTGCGGGGTGGAGGAGCCGCGCATCCCTGGCATCCAGCACCAGAAACCATTCTGGGACCTGCGCAGCTTTTCACGCGAGGCAGAAGGTATTTATTTTATTCTGAAGTGTTTTGCAGGGTGGAGAAGGGCTGTTGAGTTTTAACAGCTGGAAATCCTACCCAAGGCCAGGTGTGAATGCAGATATTTGCACTCTGCCTGGTCCTCCCCATGCTGCCCCCAGCTCTCCTTAGCATCTCTCCTTCCCGGGGGGCTCACCTGTCCCTGTCCCCATCGCATGCTGACCTCAGGACTTTGCTGCCTTCACTGAGGGAGAAGTGGTAGGCAATGCCCACAACTTCAGCAGAAGGGAGATTCATATAGAGGAATGTGGATGGAAGGGGACAAAAAAAAAAAGCATGACAAATCTTATTTCATAAAGATTTTTCTCCTGAATATTTTGTCTAGCCCCAGTATTCAAGTTCTACGTGCCAGGGTGTGTCTTTTCCGCAGTCAGTGGGATTACTTTTTTTTTCCTCCGAGTACTGGGGCTTACAAGAGCTGTAAGTGGAGGAGAGCTACTTGCCTGTGACAATGCAATTAGCATTCCCCATTCAACTCAGGGGTGTGTTAAAGTAACAGCTGGAACTCACTGTTTTATTTTTGGACAGTTAAATAGATCATGCTAAATAATTTTCTTCAAGGAAAGAACCATGGGGCACACCTGCACGTGGAAAAACAGTCACGTCCCAGTACCAGGCTAGGCAAAGTGCATTTTTTTTTTTTTTTTAAGGTAATCCAAGCTGTTCTTTCAAATACAAAAAATTAATTGCCTGGAATCTCTCAAAATTCACGGGTTTAATTTTATTAATTGATTCTTTGCTTTGTCAATGAGGCTTCTCTCTGTGGCATCCACAAGATATGTTTTTTTCTTTATATTGCATTTACGTTCAGCAGCCTTTTATGTTAATCCATATAATTACCTTTTGTAGATTTGAAGTTGCTGTGTCTTTATTCTTCATAATTGGTGCATCTATTACGCAGAAGTGATATTTTCCCACTATGTCCTTGATAATTATAACTCTATCCTTCATTTACATAATAAACTTTTTGGGGCAATTTCTGCAGTAACATTTCATGCCTAATAGGAAGCAATTTGCTTTCCTTTATTAAGTACATTAAAACTTCATGCCCCAGACATCATTGACTGTAAACATTTGATTCTGCTCAAATTTAATGCACCAAGGCATTTTGCTCTGCCATATTAGGTTTATTTATGTGCTATGTTCTGGATTGTTAGCTGCTAATGAGACTTCAGCTCTTATTGCTCTAAGGCCTGAACACTAACCTCATTTTAATGAGTTCATTATTTGCTGCCTTCTGAATGGAAGACAACAAATTTTCCTTTTAATTAAAGGTCAAAACACCTCTGGCTAAGGAAAGTGTAGAGGTTATCAAATCCTTAGAGAAGGTAAAAGAACGACTTTTTCTGATTTTGATGCCAAGCATGGGCAGGCCAGGCTAAGGTAGAAAGTGTTTCTCTGGGGACCAAAAGTCCAAATCTAAGCTAAGTGATAACAACACTAAAACATGGTACTAGTCTTCCCAAGGCATTGTTACAAATAAAAAGCCCTAAAAGTCAGCCTAAGTAATTAAAGAGGCTTTACTCCTAACCCAAAGGTCTGTGCGGATCAATAGTACTGCTAAAGCATGAGCCCTTCTTTGCATGTGCAATGATTTATAGGGTGCAGAGGACAGATGCCAGATTAATTGAGCCGACAAAAATTAATCTCATATTTCTTATCGGGGAAAGTGAGGCAAATGTGATCAGTATTGGGGGCTGTTTGTAGTGAGACAGAGGTACGTGCAACCGTGTGTTGGTGTGTGTGCAAATGCACGTGAAAGGGATTGGTGATCCCTTGCTTTGAAAATGGAGTGGAAACTTTAGTCAAACCCAAAGAGGATGAATTAATATGCAGATCCTCGTCCTTTATCTAGCATTTTATGCCAGGTCACCATCTTGAAGGCAGGCTAATAGACATTGGTTCATGTGCCTTTCAATCGAGAGGCTGCTCACGTCACAGGTGATAGTGTTAGAGGAAGGGTCTTTAGGAAAGAAGGGACCAATGTCTGTGAGAACAGCTGGTGAAAATTAAAAGTGTGTGACACATAGACATTGTTTAGCATGAAAACTGAAATTGTCAAAATGTCCTTATATCAGCTCTAAACAGTTCTGCGAAACTGAACCAAATTCCTGACTCTTGCAGGAGTTTCA